AAGAAAGAGGTGAGAAGAGAGAGAGAAGAAAGATGAGAGGAGAGAGAGAGGAGAGAAGAGATAAAGGAGAAAGACAGAAGAAAGAGAGAAAAGAGAGAAAGAGGAGAGAGGAAAGAGAAGAGAAGAGAGAGAGAGAAGAGAGAGAGGAGAGATGAGAGAAAGGAGAAAGACAGAAGAAAGAAAGAGAGAGAAGAGAGAAAGGAGAGAGACAGAAGAGAGAAAGAGAGAAGAAAAAAGAGGAGAGAAGAGAGAGAGAGAGAGAAGAGAGAGAGAAGAAAGAAAGGAGAGAGACAGAAGAGAGAAGAGAGAGAAGACAGAAGAAAGAGGTGAGAAGAGAGAGAGAAGAAAGATGAGAGGAGAGAGAGAGGAGAGAAGAGATAAAGGAGAAAGACAGAAGAAAGAGAGAAAAGAGAGAAAGAGGAGAGAGGAAAGAGAAGAGAAGAAAGAGAGAGAGGAGAGAGAGAGGAGAGAAGAGATAAAGGAGAAAGACAGAAGAAAGAAAGTGAGAAAAGAGAAAGAGAAGAAAGAGAGAGAGAAGAGAGATGAGAGAAGGGAGAAAGGAGAGAGACAGAAGAAAGAAAGAGAGAAGAGAAGAAAGAGAGAGAGGAGAGAGAGAGGAGAGAAGAGATAAAGGAGAAAGACAGAAGAAAGAAAGAGAGAAAAGAGAGAAAGAGGAGAGAAGAAAGAGAGAGGAGAGAAGAGAGAAAGGAGAGAGACAGAAGAAAGAGAGAAGAAAGAGAGAGAGAAGAGAGGGAAAAAAGGAGAGAGAGAGAGAGAGAGAGAGAGAGAGAAAGAGAAAGAGAGAGAGAGAGATTTGTTTGCTTAGTGAGATGGTGAGGATAGCAGGTTCTTTTTCCCTTTGACCCAGAACATGCTAGCCCCCTCACACAATAGGGATTTCGGTTTGGAACAACAAAAGCTGCGTTCTCTGCCAACAAGCTGTGGGTTCATTTGATGCAGCAGCAGCAGCCGAAGGGAAAAATATCATTTTTGTCCAGGGCGTTTACCTGTTGCATTCCTCTACCAAGGCTTCCCTCTCTTCCTTGCTGGGGTTCTTTTGACGGTCGTAGGCCTGGTACAAGATCTGCTGGGAAGCAGGGCCCCACTTAAAGCGGTTGCGCCTCATCTTCTTGCTGGGTGTTTCGGCACAAGAGTCGTCTATCTGGCCCACACCCTGGCTTTGCTGGTTAAATTCTGGAAAGAGAAACAGCAGCTGATCTTGACTGCCTTTTTCTGTCATATTTCCAGAACCCTGGACTGTCTGGTTGAATTCTGAAAGAGAAAGGAGTAGATTTTTGATTGGGCCGGGCCAGTAGGGTTGTGTAACACACACACCTGTAGGAAGAGATTCAGTTGACTTTAAGGAATGTCTCAGGGCACCAGAACATGGTTTCTTTGGCCTGCATAGCTGGTTCAGCTAAGCCAGAGGTTCCCCAATGGCTGGCTGCGGCTCACTGCTGGGCTGTGGCCTATTAGGAACCAGGGGTTCTGACCGAGACTTCCCCAGCAGCACGAAGCCGAGTCCTCGTCCCAATAAACCCCTTTTATTTAATTGACAGTGAATTCCTCTCCAGCAAAGTCTTTCCTCTCCCACCGTCTTTCAAGCTAGTTCACAATTCCCAACCTTTATCAGGCTTGGAGAGTGGCTGGGCCCATATCTTTCAGACGCTGCAATACTTGGCAAGAATGCAGGAATTAACTAAGTGTCTCCTGCAAACTCCACTCCCCTTTCGCTCTGTTTAATTCCTCTGGGAGTGGCCATTCACCATCCACCTGTGGCCTTATTCCCAAGTCAACCCTTGTTCCTTAGCTGTTCCCTTCGTCCGGCAACTCTGTGCATGCGCACACTGGGAACAGGCTCCAGCTGTTCGTCTGCCTCACTGATGTCTGACTCTGAAGGCAGCTGATAACTGTCAGATGGCCCTGGTCTCATCTCTGCCTCGGATACAGAGCCCTCATCAGAGCCTTCCCCAGACTCCAGGAGTGGCCCATCTTCCTCCCCCAACTGCCTCACTGTCCGAGTCTGCTGCCAGCTCTGCTGGCCACTGGTGGGCCACAACAGAGGAATTCTGGGAGTTGAAGTCCACAAGTCTTAAAATTGCCAAGGTTGGAGGCCCCTGCTCTAATCT